TGACGGAAGAAGACGTGCTTCGTGCTGTGACAGTTTCAGCTTCCTTTATAGCATTTCCATTGAACCTCTGCTGTCATGTTTCATTTGTATACAGTGGGGTGATTCTAAATTGGCTTTGCAGATTCATCCTGTTGTTTCTCGTCTATGTGCTTCCATTCAGGGTACTAGTCCAGCTCGTCTGGCTGAATGTCTGGGACTTGATTCGGCTAAGGTGCGTATGTTCTATTGAGTCTTCGATATTTTAAATGATTGGCATCATGTCTTTCAATATAGAGTTTGCTGATTCTTATTACCTGGATCAGTTCCAATCAAGAGTGACTCAGTCTAGCAATCAAGATACATCTATGATGCTGTTATCTGTAATCGATGATGAATGTTAGAGGTGAACCTCTAACATATCAATTTCGTTAATGTTGCAGTATTTCGGTTATTCAAATATTCTTGTGTTTTAATGACAGATATCGTGGTTGTGCGCCACTGCGTTTGTCATGCCCAAGCTGTTCTGGTACCTTCGACTGCCCTCCTGTATCTAGTCTGATTACTAGTGCTACAAGTGTATGCAGAATTTAAGTTGATACAAACTAAACTTATGTTGTCCATGTGTAGATGAAAAGACAGGCTGATAATTTCATTAGTCTATATTATAAAGGTTTGCAGATGGTAAGTGTTTTAGGTTGAGCCTTTGTATATTATACAATGCCTGTTTATGATTACACTTGACCTTTTGGCTGTTCTTTTCTACCAGTGTGACGATGAGGGTTGCAAATACTGGACTCACAGTGTAAACCTTACAGTTATGGTGGATTCCGAGAGAGGAACCATCTGCCCTAGCTACCCACGCTGCAACGGTCGCCTAGTAAGACAGGTTTGTTGACACTCTGACTGAGCTTACAATGTGCCCATTTGGGCAAGTGGCAACTGGTGTCTAATACAAAACCTCTGTGTTTAAAGAACTCGGAGGCAGATCTATACAGGCAACTGTCATACTTTTGATATGTACTTGATGCAACCCGGTGTCTTGAGAAGGTTCACATCAATCTAACCATGTACTTTTTTTTTTACTTTCTAATCGAACCTATGCCATAGCTGGCTTGATCTTAACTACTTTGGATGTAGGTGGACCAGAAGGCAAACCTGCCCTTCGAGAGAGAGTTTGGAGCAGTAGACCAAACAATTAACTTGGCACTGCTAGAGATCCAGAAGATCCGAGATAGATGCGCATTTGGATGGGTTCAGCTAAGGGAACTTGCCGTGTCAATATGATGTGTTTTTTTGGTGGTGGTGGTGGGGTGGGGGGGGCGCGGGGAGAGCTCAATTAGATGAATTTGATTCTAATCGTGTAAGAAATTAATCGTTGTCTGTAGGTTGTGTTGATTCTGGATCTCGGATGGATCATAAACCTTAGTCCCTTTTGATCTGTTTAAACATTGGACCTGACGGGCATGTAGCCAATTTTCGTGACAACTGTTCCTGTTCTTGAGTTGCAAACTGTAAATTATAGGTTCAAATTCTTGGTTGAAACTGTAAAACAGCATGATCTAAAAATACATGATAGTTTGAATTTGAAAGTTTGAAATCAGCATGAGTTACAATTGGGTTGGCGCTAATTTTTGAATGTCTACACAGTAACTACTGGCTGGAGAATGCTGCAGCATGCTGGATACTGCTAGGGGGCTGGAATTGGTTGGCTGGGCTGGCTGGTGCTGGGGCTGGACCAGCCAGCCCAGCCAGCCTACCGAACGGGCTATAAATCCCTCTCTGCTGGTGTTTTTTTTTCCCATACAAAATGAACATGTTGGGGTATTACTGTCGGCATGTACGTATGTATTAATCATGAGACTTGCACATGCTTGTCACAATTGTTTGTATGAATTACTATATTAAAATATACCGAAAATTGAATACAATTCCACCAGTTCAAATGCTTATTCGGACAAGTGCACAAACATAATCAAATCTGAAAGCAAGGACGAAATGACGATCAGTGGGCCAGGGTGAAGTACATGTCGACGACGACGACGATGGTGGTGTTGGTGGAGCTCACCAGCCTGCTCTTCATGTACCCTCGCGCGAACCGGAGCTTGCCGGTGCCGCCCACGATGCTGCGCTCCGAGGGTCCCCCCGTCGGATCGAACTGGCCCTGCGCCGTCAGCGTGCTGCCGCTGTACTCTCCGTAGTCGCTGGAGAAGACAAAGTCGAAGGCCGAGAATATGCTGGAGCCGTCCAGCGACGCGTTCACCCCAAAGCCTTGCACCCTGCCGATGAGCCGCGACGCCGGGTCCGGGCCTTCACGCAGCACGTTGTCTAAGACGTTCACGTCCCCGAACGTCGGCGCGCCCCTGCAGCAACGACAGCCACAGCCACACGCGCGCATCTAGCTTTAATTTAGTGTACACATCATGATCCCTGCGTGGTTAGTAATGTCAACGATATATATGAGACGTACTTGTGCAGGCTGGCGACTTTGACGACGGTGGCGTTGGGCGCGCCGGCGACGACCTCGTGGAAGTAGAAGTGGAGGTGGGTCAGCTTCTCATCCGCGGCGGCGGACGCGGCGCCGCAGCAGGACAGTAGCAGCATGAGAACAAGGGAAGCGCACCGAGCAGCGACCATGGCTTGGTTTTTTTCTTTCTACGCGTGCGCTCTTTCTGTATGATGACACCGTGTGTTTGGAGAAAGGAGAAAGGGCACCGTGTGTTCGGAGGGAGAGGGAGGAAGGGAAGAGATTTAAAGGGTCCTTTGGCTTATCACGTGGAAACATTTGTCAAAAACATATTTACTCATAGTTTTGTAATAGTCTGTGTTAGGCTTGCGAAGAGTATCACGTTTTGGTGGCTCCGGCTTCTCTAGACTCTCATTTTTTATATGGCTATTTGGCAGCGGCTCTCTGCAAAAGAGAAAAGATAGATGGATCTGATATGTGGACCCCACATGATGGGTCTATGTTAGCATATTAGAGTATCTCTAAGAGCCTATGTAAAACTCAATCTCTGAATCATCATTTGAAGAGTCATTTGCATAAAAACCACTTTCTATATCTTTTCACTCTCCAATAAATTTTCTCTGTCTTATGTGTTCTCAATGGAGTCATTCTCGTTTTCTACCTTTGGCTAGCGAAAATCTAGAATAAAAATGGTTATTATATTAGATAACCAATTTAAAAAGTTGTTGAATAGTTCTTTTTTTTTACTAAAATCTCTGTTTCTAGTAATTAGGAAAGATATAAAGTCTCTTGGAGTTGCTATTATGTTAGGGTCTATTTGGGACAAATTTAGGAATCCAAAGTAACATTTTGAACGTTGGGGGCCGTGACAACCCTGTAAGTTTGAGGCTCCTCATGAAGTTTATTCGATTTTCTACTTTCGCGGAGTCAACGTTAACGACTGTCTACCAACCCAACTACCCGAGCGACTGGGAGAATTTATCTAATGTTGTTTGCAGTGTCGGTTGAGGGCTGCTAGGTAGTTGAAAGGGTCTTATTTTTGCCAAATAGCGCTTGTATAAGCGACATTGTTTCTTAGGAAATTCTAGGTCAACGTTAGCGACTGTCTACCAACCCAACTACCCGAGCGACTGGGAGAATTTATCTAATGTTGTTTGCAGTGTCGATGTAGGGCTGCTAGGTAGTTGAAAGTGTCTTATTTGTGCTAAATAGCGCTTGTATAAGCGACATTGTTTCTTCGGAAATTCTAGGTCAACTTCATGATTTTTGTACTAATAACAAATCCAAATGAAGTGATAACTGCAAGCTTTCATGAGTGCGGAATTTATCTAGAGTTTTTGCATTGTTCATGGCTTGATGTAGGGCTGGTAGTGCTAGGTGACTGAAATGGTATTATTTATCCTAAAATCGTGCTTGTAAAAGCAACATTATTTCTTCTCAAAATCTTGATAAATTTCATAATTTTATATACTAATAGCAAACGAAGCTATTCGGCTCTTTCAGGAAATGTAGAAGGCCAACATACGCTGACACAAAGCCCTGGGTAGCATTGGAAATACTAGACGTCGCATATGTGACTAAAGTCGTTTTGTCCCACATCTATGGTGAGATTTTTTTTTGGGTGATGGAACATTATTTTGTTGTTTTTATGGAACCATTTTTCTTACCAGCAATATTTTCTTCTAACTTTGTTTTTCTTTCGATAGAATAGTTTCTTGTTGGAACATTTTCTTCTTCTGAGCTGAAACAACTTTCATTTTAATGTTTTCATCAAATGAATGTATTGTTCCACAAAGAGGAAAAATACTACAGAAAAAAGGAAAAAAGGAATGTTGGGTCTCATCAAAGAAAAATATTGTTCTAAAATAGCGGAAAAATACTACAGAAAAAAGATTGAAAAAAGATTTTGTTACTACATAATGAAGTCAATCATTTTTTTATTTTTATTTTTTTGCTTTTGCAGAGTCAACAGCAGTGACTGTCTACCAACCCCAAGTGGCTGGGAGTTTTCGTTAGTGGAAAATTTGTCTAAAGTTGTTTGCAGTGTAGAACCGTCGATGTAGGGCTGCTAGGTGACCGAAAGGGAGCTTGTAGAAGCAACATTGTTTCTTCTAAAATTCTAGGCCAACTTTATGATTTTTTTTTTTTTTTGTTGCTAATAACAAACCAAGCTCTTTCAGGGAAATGGAGAAGGCAGGCAAAGAACGGGAGAACTTTGCATGAATGAGAGCAGAGAACGCAAACCGGAAAGATCTTCGCCAACTATTCCGAGAAGATCTGACAGCCAAGGAGATTGAAAATACTTTATTTCTAGATAACACAATTTGCATAGCGAATGCTCTGAATTCAGCAGACTAATTCAAAGCCGCAACTCATGGAAGATCATGTATGATTTCTACAATACATAAGCAATACACACGGCAAGTGTAAAATATAATCCACAGCTTCTTCGTATGACATCAGGTTATAGCAGAACTAGAATCCGTTGACGACAACGATGTGAAAATCCAAACAAGCAAACAGGCGTCCTGTCCCAAAATCTTCCACTGAAATAGAACTAGTCATCATCCTTGTAGGGGTATTCCTCCGGGATTTGCTTGATAAGTTTCACCCGCATCTCATAGGCATCGTCCCCACGAAGCATGTCACGTACCCATGTCACCTCCGTCTTCATAGACACCTACATATAACACTAGCAAATCAATCAGTAAGAACACCATAATAAGTAGAACATAGGTGTGTAAGGTTCCATGCTACAGCAGGTAGTGCAGTGCCACCACATGTAACAATGGTGTAGGGGGAAAATATCAATCGGCCTGTTCGCAAGTTGGTTTCTGGGCTCATAAGCCTGGCTGGTACTGGTTTGTTGTGAGAGGAAAACACTGTTGGCTGGCTGATAAACCCTGGCTGAAACCAACAAGCGAACAGGCTGAATATTGAGTATTTCAGAGGACAAATATATTAGTATCACTTATTTGTGATAAATCTAAATAGTTCTACAAGACTGGCTGTATGCATTCTGAAATATCAATATTAAGTATTTCAGAGGACAAATATATTAGTATCACCATATTAACAGTCAAAGTTTCAGGAAGCTGGCTGTATGCATTCTGAAACAACTTCAGAACAACATTCGATAGTATGACTGACATGAAACATGAAAGGTAAAGGAAGAAACTTGAATGGAGATAGCAGTTAAACAGAAGACCAACCATTTCCAATGCCCCCCCTAATAACTCCACTTAAAAGATTGCAATACTGAAGGCCTTGGCAAGTGTCAGGGAGCTCGACAAAATCAACAAGCGGGTTGTCTTCCAGGACAAGGCTGCAACTTGTACCCTCAGCATCCCAATTGGTCACAGTTGCAGTCACACCCAAGAACATTTTGAAGCCAAGCTGTTGTGACAAGGAAAAAATAAAAGGGTGCTGTCAGACCTTGAATCCATGGAGGATGGGAAAAAAAAAGATGCAGCATTGCAAGTGCTAAACATTTGATAACCTATATATCCAGTATCTTGTAGGCAGCAATTAACAAATATTCAACAAAATAGGAACATGGTAAATGGTCATTGGACTTCAATAAACCAAGAAGGCATAAACAAGAAAAGCTCAGCACACTATATGGACGATCTGCAGAGGACAGAGCATCGTTACTGTACTAATTTAGCACAGACAGTGAACAGAAGCATTAAATAATCTAAAAGAAGTGGATGCTGTGAACAACCAAGACCATATATGCATTTGCTCCAACACCGCGTAAGTACTTGTTAGAATATTAAACATATACAGAATAAAAGAGCAGATATGCCATATAGGAATAGGGGCAGTAAGCTCAGCAGCTGCGTATTGCTGTGAAGTTTAGCAAAGACCTTTGCGATAACATCGGCAGTCTCCTTGAAGTCAACACACCTTGATACATTTGACTTTGCTAAGAACTCATCAACCAATCGAGTTCCAATGTTGTAACCCCTGAAAGTGAAACTTTTCCTTTTAACATGTCGGAAAGGGTTTAAATGAAAAAAGTTTGAAGACAAAATTATGAGAATAGCAGCCAGAAAACAAGGGATATTAACTCTGCAAAACAGTTATTATGTTGCCAATCATACTAACTACCACTTCATACTTGATTCTAGTTCAGATTCGCCCAGATCCAACTTCATTATTCCTCAATTGAGGAGAAATTTGCAAAAGTGAAATACATATAATTGAACAAATCTTCTCCCTGAGTAGAAACATGGCATGTAAGTGGGTCATGACCAAACACATGGGACGTATACCATGGGTTGGATAGAAAGAACATATAGCCCCGTTCACCTGCCCTTAAAATCAGCCGGAATTCACTGTTTACGGCTAAAAACACTGTTCACTCTATTCCTCCAGATTCATCCAGATGTAGGAACTGTGTATTTCAGACGACAATATCACTTTTCTTCTATGGGATGTCTCCGAAGAGACAGACCACATCACTCTTACTATGACTCCTCGAGTGAGAACTAAATACCATCAAGAAAAATCCTTTTTCTTTTCATTCACATGCTGCACAAAGTCTGTGATCTCAGGCTATCAGGTCCAATTCCATAGTTCAAGTTAATTGTGTTGTATGTGTCTACAAATCGTATTGAATAATCATGCATGATCCATATATCATTGAGTGAAAACATCGCACAATTTGTCAGCGATGAGAACTATCAGAAACGATTCCATACGCACGGCCACAAGGAAATCAACGTTTCTACCAGTACTGCACTAAGGCTGCAAAATTTAACTGGCTCCATCATCCATCAAAATTCGCCGAATCGGCCAGGGAAATGCGGCAACTAAGAGAAGGAGAGAGAGAAGGGGAGCCACGTACATCTGATCGAGCTGCTTGTTGACCTCCTCGACCTCCTCCAGATCCGTGAGCAGCTGCCGCACGATGGCGCCGTACGTGAGCGTGAACAGCTCGGCATTCTGAAACCAGCGATGAACCAGAAAGCGATTAGGCGAAGTCCAAGGCCAGATCTAGCGTCAGCGCCAGATTTCCGTGAGCAACGGACGGGTTCAGAAGCTTACGACGCGATCCACGCTGGCGAAGAGGGCGTCGCCGGACTTGGGGGCTGGCGGCATCGTGAGAGGCTACCCAACACCCAGCTCGAATCCCCTCGCGCGCCGGCAGTACTGAAGCGTACTTTCGGCTCCCTGGCGGCGCTCGCGTCACGGGGGCGGCGGACTGCGGATGGCTTGGGCCTTGGGGACGACGGGCAGCGAGTGGAGGCGCTGAGCAAACGGACGGAGGAGAGCGTCGTCGCTGAGAGCAGTCGGGGGCACGGGGCGTCGGGCAGATGGGCCTGTTGGGCCTTTAGCAGATTGGGTGTGTTCGTATATTGGGCTATCCCAACAAGAATCAAAGTTCCATCCTCCCCTAAAAACAAAAAACAAAAAACAAAAACAAAAACAAAAACAAAAACAAAGTTCCACCTAAGGTCCGTGTTTCCTATGGCGTTTGGCGACGGCTTCACTAATTAGCGAGCGCTCGTTAGATGTGAATCAATCGAACGATTCTCCGACATGCCCTTGTTTTCTTTTTTGAAAAAAAATAATTCCACCTTTTTCCTGTTTTGGATGGCGCAGGCGTGCTCAGTCATTCTCTTTTGGATTCTCGGCTGCTGCATGCTGACATCAGCGCAAAGACAGAAAAAAAAGCAAAATATTTATTTCAAATTGCTATAACTTATAAATGGTGTATCTATTTTTAATTCCGTCTATACCGTGTGTTTTACGCGACGAGGCGAACTAAAACCCACTTGCATATGTTTCGAAGAATTTTTTTATAGTAGCAATTTATGTGTACTAATTTATAACATATAACTTATGCGAAAAACTTAGAAACTCAAGAGTTATGAAAACATAACTTATTTACAAAGAGTTATTAAATACAAAGGAACGAATTAACTTATAACTTATGCCAAATCTAGCAAACACAAAAGTTATTAACAGCCAAATGGACGAATTAACTTATAACTTAAACCGAAGCTTAGAAACACAAAAGTTATAAAACACAACTATGTACATAAGTTATCAAACACAACTTGTGTACATAAGTTATTCAATACAACTTATGTGCATAAATTATAAGTTATAAGTTATATGTTACAAATTAATATACATAAATTGCTATTAGAAAAAAAAAATCTTCAAAACACATGTAAGTGGGGTCTAGTTTTGTTCGTCACGTCGAGTAGAATACACCGGTGCAGAAGGGAATTAAAAACGGTACACCGTTCATAAGTTATAGCAATTTAAAATAAATATTTTGCTTTTTTTAGACTGTGTCAGCGCTGACATCAGCGGATGCTCCCACACTGGTTGGAGCCCAATCATTCGCAGGCTTCATTTTTTAGTGAACAACTGCCAGGTGGTGTGGCAAAACTGTCCGAAATAACACGCTTTCGTAGACGCTCGTCTTCCACTAGACACTAAGCACCTAAAAGTGAACTACATCGGTCAGTTTCGTCGAGCACATCCCAAGAGAGAAATCGAAACAATCCACGTTTTACATCCAGAATCCAACAATGAGTACGAGCTTACAATTCTTAGTTCATTTCATACAACAAGAGTTCTTAAAAGTTATTTATTACAATACCAGAGTTCAGAGTGCGATAATTAAACAGCGGAATGAAAATAAACATCTAGCGAAAACGATACAAGGATTCGTCTGTGCCCACCAGAAGAATCCTCCATACAAGAGATACTCCTCAAGCTGCACCTGCAACATGGGTAAAATAAACCCTGAGTACACAATGTACTCGTAAGACTTACCCAGCTAGTGGGAATAGTTTCCCGACTCTCAAGAATATGATAGGCAATATGGGTTTGATGTTTTCTTTTGTTTGCGAAAGAGCATTACTAATAGTACGTCCTTAGGATCAAGTTTTATTAGCAGTCATGATTACTTCATTAGCTAACCATTCTAGGTAAGTACATGTTCTACTTTCAAGTAAGGGTTAAGAAATCAGAATCATTTCACCATCTTTTATTTTCCAGTTCTTACTACAGTGCTAGACCATAGCCAAGTCGTATCGTCTCACAGAAACGACGATTCGTGAACCAATGTAACTCAGCTGGGTACCCCAAAACACACGCCCTACTTGCGTCCCAGGCACAAGCAAGACTAACCTATTCCACTACTATCACGGGGTCCAGGTCTCCGTCCAAACTTAGACTTTAAGCCCCCACACTTGAGACCCGGTCTTAACATGGTGCTTACACCTCCACATTTTCTCGCCTCCAATCAGTCGGTCCGAAAAGAGTCGGAACCCACGACAAGAGCGTAACGAGCCTTCCCGCTCCCGTAAGCAAGTATGTGCTCAGGATAATAAGTCTGTGACCTGACTACCATCCACAGCAACGGACGATCCTTAATAGATATGAACAGGGAAAATAGTGTAACCAAGCTAAGCCCCGTTGGCCGCGGGACACAACCTGTTACACCCACCAATACCCATACCATATCCCTGTCATGTCTCCATTTTTCCTTTCATCATTTTTGTCGCAGAACCGACCAATTTATAAGAATACAAGTACAATGGCAATCCGCAAGCGGTCGCACTGTCATACTTGAACCCATATAAACCCGGTAGTCCGTCAAGTACCACGACGGGTCTCGATAAACGATTTACAACAACCAAGATCATACAGGATTCAACATACATGCCACATATTACATAAAGTTCACAGATACTTTTCATCATCAGAGTATGAATAAAAGTTATTACGAACCAAGTTTGATAAATAAAGCGGAAGCAAATAAGTTCGAAGATAAAGTTTTCCAACATAGTTTGATACAGTGCCAAGCTAGATCACGGTCCACAAAAGCAAGGATAGGAATTACTAAAGAAGCCTGCCCAAGGCTTACTCTTCATCCACAGCGGGATAGAAGCAACTTGTCGGTGTTTCGTACAAGCACCGGCAAGTGAATTTATAGTAATGCGCGTTAGGCTCGGATGGTGCGCTAAAGGACACAGGATTTATACTGGTTCGGGCGAAACGTCCCTACGTCCAGTTTGTTGCTGCTTGTGTTATTAGCACCGTAGCGATCTGTAGTAAGGGATACAAACTGCCGAGAGAGGGACTGGTCCCAAGTCTCTGATCAAAGGATTGAAAGGTGGTCAAGAGCTTCGTAGCTGCTTGAATGTGTGTGAGTGCGTTCTATTGTTTTTGTCCTCCTTTTTCTTCCGTCCCCCTTGATAGAAGAAGCGCATCCCCTTTTATAGACGAAGGGGCCGGCTTTACAAGGGTAAGGGCTCCAGGACGCGTACTCTACTTAGTCTTGTGGCTCACGTCTACCTGGTCAGGTCCTCCACCCTGATGAGTGCGAAGGAAGATAAGTGTTTACAATGTTGTCGATGTCTCTGCAGGATGTCGGGTTAGTCACGAGAATCTTTGCCTGCTTGGGTATGGGCTGCGCATCTGATGGTTTTGACTTATGAGCCTCCCCCCACCCTGGCTCCGCACGCCTTCGGGTTCTCATGAGTCCTCGTTGGGAGAATGGGGGTCGGGGTCCGGTGTAACGCCGTGGTCAAGGCCTTCTGACTGGGAGGACTGAGGGGTCGGAAGCGGGCGTCGCTCCCTCGGGTCCCACCGTGTGGTGACGGAATACCCATCGTTCGTGGAGATAGCAAATCCTTTCTGGATCGTAGCGGTTGTCGTATATCTTCGCTTGGTTCAGTGTCCCAGAGCCGGGCGGCGCCTACAACTCTCTGAGGTGAGGTGCACGCACTGTAATACCTTTTGGGCTCACGCGGCCTGGGAAGGGTCTAAAGCTTTAGTCCTGTCGTTCCTCGGCAGTCCTTTCTCTGCCAGTATGCAGGTATGGTCGTTGGAGCCATGGTTGACCCGAACGTCTTGTCTCGTCCTGTACCCATCATTATGAGGGATAGATATCGATCGGCGAGGCTCGCTCGGGCGTCGGGTGGGTGACCCCTCCCCTCGGGGTCAGGCGAGACAGGTCGTCCCTCGGCCCTCGGGCGAGACCGAGCCCGCCCTCAAGGCGTCCAGGCGAGGCGGAGTTTATCCTCGGCCCTCGGGCGAGACCGAGCCCGCCCTATAGGCGTCCCAGGCGAGACGCGAGATTAGCCTTGAGCTTTTGGGGCGAGGCAAGGTTATCCTACCAAGGCGTCGGGTGGGCCGACCCGCCCCTCCGGCGTCGGGCGAGACGGAATTCATCCCTTAGCCCTCGGGCGAGACCGAGCCCGCCCTCAAGGCGTCGGGCGAGACGGAACCAACTCCTCTTTCGAACAAGGGATGACATGGAGCCCTTATACATCTAGAAGTTTTTACGTTCGGTGGTCATCGGTTCCACCTTCCGGGTACCTCGGTATTAGGTCCCCGACAAGAGTTTCCCCGAGACTCCGGTGTGATTCGGGTAGAACCGCTGGAGGGTGTTTTTTCTGAGTGGGTCGTGGCGTCCCGCTTTGATCGGGACCGATTCGGGGCCGTCCTCACTGGTGCTTCTGCCCTTGGTGGCGGATTGTTCGTAGATTCCTTCTTAGTTAGGCCGGCAGGCGAGTTGCTGGGCCCTAGGTGGGCCAAAGAGAAAAGAAACGGGCCTTTGTGGCTTGTGCTTCCCAGGTGGGTGGAGAGTCCGGATTCGCTTGGGGAAGGCGAACCGTCCACCGAGATTTTTTGGGATGAGAGGATAGGGACCGCGGGCGCGTGTCCCTTGACGTGTGTGCGTGGCGGCGTGGCGTGGCGACCGGAGATCGAGGCGGGCGGTTGCCCTTCTCGCGTCCGTCGCCCCTATAAAACCACGGGGTTCGCCCCGTGGTCCCGTGTTTCACTCCCTTCCTTTGCATTCTCAAACATCTGCCGCCAATCTTCCCAACCTCTTATAGCATCGCCACCGTCGACCGGCTGCGTTTGTGTTTCACCAGCGTTAAGCTCGCGCCTGTCCTTCCCCCCTCCTGCTTCAATGGAGTTGTGGGGCAGATCAAGCATCACTTCCCGGCGTCTGGAGGGCCTCGTCCGCCGTGGCCTTCTCCGCCCACTATCCGCCGTCCAGGAGTGGTTGCTCCTCGGCGACGAGGGTGAGCCGGTGCCGCCTGAAGGGTATGTCGTCTCCTTTGCCA